ATCTGGGTAAACAATCTGAAAGTGGTGATAGGCCAGGCGCGGTGGCTCAAGCCTGTAATCCCAGCACTGTGGGAGGCCGAGGCGGGTGGATCACGAGGTCAGGAGATCGAGACCATCCTGGCTAACATGGTGAAACCCCGTCTCTACTAAAAATACAAAAAACTAGCCGGGCGTGGTGGCGGGCGCCTGTAGTCCCAGCTACTCGGAGGCTGAGGCAGGAGAATGGCGTGAACCTGGGAGGCGGAGCTTGCAGTGAGCCGAGATCGCGCCACTGCACTCCAGCCTGGGTGACAAAGCGCGAGACTCCGTCTCAAAAAAAAAAAAAAAAAAAGAAAGTGGTGATAAATACTAATCCAGATAACCCTAAAATTTCTGTGTGCTTTGGAATACGCATTATATGATAGAAAACTCTTCCAGCAGACTTATTCTTCTGATTTTGGTTTTTCATACGCTAGGGGAAGTCTGCCTCCCCTAAGCCTATGAAATCAACCAGTGTAGCTTGGGTCACAGCAAGAAGGGAAAAAGATGGGATGATTATCCATTCTATGGATCATTCCTAATTCCTCACAAAAATCAAAAACTGACTGAATTTAATTTTGGAATACACCTGGAGGGAGAATTTGGTACTACCCTGACTACAGATGATTGGGTAATATGACCCAAATCAAATCAACCAAATTCTCACTCCAGGAAAACCAGAATTGAGACTACCATCGTAGTTCAATCTGGACTGATCTCTAAAAGGAAAGAAATAAAAACCAAGGTGTGGGTGGCCATCTTTCACCTACAACAAAGGTTAAGAAGCTAATCCGCAGAGAAATAATGAATCAAGGCCAGGAGCAGTGGCTCACGCCTGTAACCCCAGCACTTTGGGAGGCCAAGGCAGGCAGATCAGTTGAGCCCAGGAGTTTGAGACCAGCCTTGGCAACATGGTGAAACTCCATCTCTACTAAAAATACAAAAATTAACCAGTCTCATAATCTGGTCTCAAAATAAATAAATAAATATATTAAAATTTAAAAATAAAATAAAAATTTTTTAAAAATGAATCAAATGTGCAAAGAACAGCTGTGTAGAGATCCCCAACAGATCTCAGGTTCCTGATGCAGGTTCCTTCTGAGGTACCACAGTATATTTATGATGCATTACCATTTAGGGCCAGGCATGGTGGCTCACATCTGTAATCCCAGCACTTCGAGAGGCCAAGGCAGAAGGGCTGCTTGAGCTCAAGAGTTCAAGACCAGCCTGGGCAACATAGTGAGACAACATCTCCATTTATTTAAATAAGAAAAAAAAAAAAAAAACATTTAAACTAGCTTGAGCTGGCTTCTAACACTTGCAACAAATGAAATCTAATCCCCAATCTGCTCTGCCTTCCGTATTCCCTCAATAAATAGCAACACCAACCCCCAGCTGCCTGAGGCAAAATGCAGTGGGGGTCAACCTTGAATCCTCTCCTTAGTGTAACATCTAATCAATCCTCCAGTCTTACCACTTCCCCCTCCTAAATGTACCTCGATGCTCCAGTTCTCTCCATCCCCTAGTTCATCAACCAGGCCACCAGCCTCTCACATTCTGCCAGTCTTGCTCCCTCCAAGTTTCTCACCACTCTGTGATCAGAGATTTCTTGCCTTTAAGGGGTCTTCACTACCCCCAAATAAGGTAGAAAGACCCTAGCATGGCATCCAAGGCCCATTATCTGGCCTCAGCCTCTCTCTCTCTAGCCCCATTCTCTCAGCACTCCCCACCCTCTCAAATGCTTCAGCCACTGTGCTTAACTCACCTGAGGTTCCCTGAAAGCGTTCTCCCTCTTTGTCCTCCAAGCTTTTATACATTGTTTCCTCTGCTGTGCTGCTCCCACACTACCCTTTCATCAGCCTTATCTCTGCTTAGACATCTCCCCCTAGAGGGCTCCCCAACCTCCCAAGACTAGACTAATGCCCACTAGGTGTACTCCAATGGCACCAGCTTATCGCAGTCCTTCTCTGCCTTTATCTAAAATCTATTTCCTTCTGTTTTCTCCAGTAGATCATAAGCTCCTTTTGGGCTGGGGCTATCATGTTCACTACTGTACATTCTTAGCTCCAGGTACAAAGAAAGAGCTCAATATCAATTGAATGAAATAGCTGAGAGTTAATTACTTCTAATTACTTCTACTTCACCACTAAACTCTAAAGGGAAATTATTTACTTAAGGAAACCTAATTCATTCTTTCGACTGTGTACTAAGAGCCTACTAAGTGTAAGACATAGAGCTCAGAACTGGAGGGGCTTAGAACTGGAGGGGCGCAGCTCTTTTAAAGACAATGGTTGGCTGGCGCGGTGGCTCACGCCTGTAATCCCAGCACTTTGGGAGGCCAAGGTGGTCAGATCACCTGAGGTCAGGGGTTCAAGACCTGCCTGACCAAGAAGGAGAAACCCCAGTCTCTACCAAAAATACAAAATTAGCTGGGCGTGGTGGCGCACGCCTGTAATCCCAGGTACTCTACTCGGGAGGCTGAGGCAGGAGAATCGCTTGAACCCTGGAGGCGGAGGTTGCGCTGAGCCGAGATTGTGCCATTGCACTCCAGCCTGGGCAATGAGCGAAACTACCTCTCAAAAGATAAATAAAGACAAAGGTTACCCTCACCTGACCATCTTGAACATTCTTAGGCTACCTTTCTGCAGGAATTACGTGTTCCAAGAACAAAAAGACCAACTTGAACAGAACAAAAATGGGAAACTCAACCAGCAAGGGCTAGGACTTTAATTAGCCATGTCACTGTTCACTTCAGAAATTTAGTGAATGCTTACAAAGGAGGGAGTGTTAGGAGTCTTCAGAGTTTTCTGCCACCTCAGCCAACCTAAATGGCAGATTCTACATCCTCTCCCAACTTTCTATAATGCTGCCTTCACAGCGCTAGAAATGAGCCTTTCCATGTCCGTGTAGACTGTTTTTATTTGTCTCATTCAGGGATCCTTCCATGTTCCAGGTTAAATCAAAGCCAAGGTAAGTTTCCATGGAGCAATAAAAGGCTTTTTTTTGGATCCTAGACTTAGGATGACAGACTCTCAGGTGTGCAAGAAGGGGGAAATAAAATTGAAGAAAGTGACCGGCGCGGTGGCTCACGCCTGTAATCCCAGCACTTTAGGAGGCCAAGGCGGGTGGATCACGAGGTCGGGAGATCGAGACCATCCTGGCTAACACGGTGAAACCCCGTCTCTAATAAAAATAGAAAAAAATTAGCCGGGTGTGGCCGCAGGCGCTTGTAGTCCCAGCTACTGGGGAGGCTGAGGCAGGAGAATGGAGTGAACCCGGGAGGCGGAGCTTGCAGTGAGCCGGAGCTTGCAGTGAGCCCGAGCTTGCAGTGAGCCGAGATAGTGCCACTGCACTCCAGCCTGGGCGACAGAAGGAGACTCTGTCTAAAAAAAAAAAAAAGGCCGGGCGCGGTGGCTCAAGCCTGTAATCCCAGCACTTTGGGAGGCCGAGACGGGCGGATCACGAGGTCAGGAGATCGAGACCATCCTGGCTAACACGGTGAAACCCCGTCTCTACTAAAAATACAAAAACTTAGCCGGGCGAGGTGGCGGGCGCCTGTAGTCCCAGCTACTCGGGAGGCTGAGGCAGGAGGGCCACTGCACTCCAGCCTGGGTGACAGAGCGAGACTCCGTCTCAAAAAAAAAAAAAAAAGGAAGAAAGTTTCCAACAAGATAGGGAGGGCAACTCTGCAACCTCCTTCCATGAAGAATCCATGTTGGAGTTCTTTCACTCATAAAACATCCATGGGAGTATTCAGTATATGCCAGGCACTGTTGTAAGTACTAGGATTATAGCAGTGAATTTTTTTTTTAATCCCTGTCTTCATGGAGTTTCTATACTAGTGGGAGGATAGATGATGTTAAGTGCAATGGAGAAAAATAAAACAAAGAGCAATGGGGAGAAGGAGGTTATAGGAGGTTGCAATTTAAATAACAGGCTAGGGAAGTCCTCACAGAAAACAGGCCTTTTAGGCCAAGTGAGGTGAGGGAGAGAACATTAGGATATCTGAGGGAAGAAATTTAAGGAACAGCAGGTTCAAAGAATGAAAATGGCTCCTAGGCAGAGCTGGGAGTCTGAAGAAAAGCAAAGGCAATAAATTTCTCTCTGGTAAGTAATTCTAAGCAGTTCCCGCTCCCAGGCTTAATCTCTCCTTTATCTCCAAAGCCCTCACTCCAGAAGAAGCCTTGTATTTTTCCACTGTCACATACAAAAACAGGTAAGACTCGCTGCCTCTTCTAGAAACAGTACCCAAGCATCCTAATTCACCTAGCTTTGACCATGGCTAAATGGTGAAAATGAGGCACAGATCTGAGGTTCAGAGAGACTGAACCTTAATCTTCACTCTGCCCTTTGCCAGGTAAAATCGTGCATGCTGGACACCTGTTTCTCATCTGTAAAACAATAGTATGTTACCTCCCAGAGCTCTGTAATAATTGAAAGAAAGGACCAATGAACGGCAAACGATCTGCACTCAACAAACATTCGATTTCTCCTCTAACTCCCCTCAAAAATAGAATCCAAGATTACTATCATTTTCCTCCAGGCCTGATGTTTTTGAGTTCAGAGGCAAGGAAAAGATTTGTCCCAGATGTTCGGCAAAGGTTCAGGAGCCCTGTCTCCTGTCATTCCTCAGGTGCCAGATTTCATCCTGTTCTCAGTAGGAGGAAAGGGGAAAAAGCCGGACTGAGGTGAAGATGCAGAGGGGGAGCGGATCCAAGTGTCCCTAGGCCTGTCAGTACCAGGTGATGATGACATGTGACCTTCTGCAGGCAAGCCCAGCTTCAGGAAACCCACATGGGCAAACACCCAAACTCCCCGAAGTTGACCAACTTCAGCTCAATTAATCACATTATAAGAGGATTCCAGTGGCCTTGAATCCACGGATGTGTTTGTGGGAAGGAGTTCCGAAATCTCCACATGTCCCTCCTACCGCCGACTCAAACCCGATGGACAGTTTGGGGGTGCCTTCCCCGGATACTCACATCTCCCTTATGCAACTCCGGCGCCGCGATCTTCACGGGCTCTTTCCTCTTCTTTGGCTTGGGAAGCCCCAGCGGGGGGCCGGCACCGCCAATTGGAGGGGGCAGACTGAGGCCAGGGCCTCGGGGCGAGGGCAACCCCAATCCCAGTCCCTCCCCAACTCCCGCCGCTTCAGCCGGGCTCACGCCTGGAGGTGGGGGGAAGCCTCCCAGGCCGAAGGGCAAGGGGGGAGGAGGCTGAAGCCTGGGGTCTGCGGTGGGTGGGGGAAGCAACAGCGGCGGGGGAAACGCTGGGGCCAGCATCTGAGGGGGCGGAGGCAGCAAGGCCGGGCCCTTGGGCGCAGGGAGAGAAGCGAACAAGCCCCCTAAAGCGGGCCCAGATGTAGGGGCCACCGCCTCCTCTTCCTCCGGCTCGGGCTCAGCCTCATCCGGCTCGCTCTCATCGCTGCTGGCGTAAGCAACCAGCGACATGGCGCCTCCCGCGTTTGGGGCGCCCTTGCCGGCAGATGAGGCCTACTTGAGACCGGGGATGCCCGGAGGCCTAGTAGGCCCCGCCACCTGGCGGGGCGGGGAATCGAAAAGTCCGCCTGCTCCGTACTCTAGGGCTAGCCGCGGCAGAAGCTCATGGCTACGGCTGATTTCCACCGAATAAGGCGTCCCTCTTCACTTAAGCTCCTAGTCCCGGGCAACTACACACAGCTAATGGCCGCCGAGTCACTCCGCCTCCTCCTTGCCTCACCAATAGAGGAACTACAACTCCCAGAGAACACTTTGGACACAGCCCGATTCTTTGTCGCAGGGATCTCAGCGCAAGACACGGCGGGAGTTGGAGTCCGAGGAAGGATTTAGGCGAGAGCAGAGAGAGACAGAAGAGAAACCCGCCTCTGACGCAGGGACACTTGGGGTGAGTAGTTTTTTTCGTCCCCTAACAATTCCGAGGTGACTACAAGCCCCACCGGTCACCACGGCAGTCACCGAGACGGATAAGAGAGCATTTCGGTACTTGAAGTTTCCTAGGGTAGCCCCTTGGCCACTAAGATTTCTGGGAGATGTGGTGCTCTTAGAGACTGCAAGTGATGTCGGGAACGAAAGGGAGTCTGGGAAGCTGGCAGATTAGGGAAAATTGCTTAAAGGGAAAGTGATCTGTAAATGAACTGGTGAAGCTTCCCCGTCGGCTGGGGCTGGGAATTAGAATAAAACATCCCAAAAAGAGCAAGGGCCCAAGGGACCCGTACGAAATTGGGCTGCAAGCCAGAAAGAAGCGAGGCTGCAGGCCTAATAATAAGTATCTAAGATTTGAAATAAATGTGATGTAAGAAGGAGGAGGTGATCTCCCTCACCAGGATTGGGGTGCACATCCAGGAGCACACCTTACCCTGGAGCCTGGGGCCTGGCCTCCCTCTGCAGCAACCAGTGAGACAAAGATGGGCAAGGCCCTGGCAGCCCCGGCCAGGTACTTGAAGTTAATCCCTTCTCAGCTCAGTGGGGTAAAGGGCTACCGTTCTGAGGAATCACTTGAGTCCGTCCTACCTGCGTGTGCCTCCCATCTATCCATTTGCAGGGGTCCTTTGCATTCCTTTACGTCTGTGAGTTTTGTCTCTTATGGCTTTGGGTGTGACCTTGTTACATCTGTCTCTGTAAGTGCTCTTCCTTTCCATCCATGTTTATAGGTGTCCTTTTCCAGCCCATTTATGTCTGCTTGTAATGATCTGCTGTGCGCCTGTCCTTCCCTGTCCGCTTGTCATTTTGTATCCTTTTCTTGTTTACCCATCTCTGCCCCTTCCTGTCTGCCCTCTACTTGTCTGCCCTGTATGTGTGTGTCCTTTACATGCTAATCCATCTCTGTGTGGGCACCATCTCCCTGTTCCCAGATTGCAGAAAATTATATTAAGCAAAGTCAGAGAAAAGGCTGTTGAAGTTTTGGGAGGAGGCTGAAGAGAAAATTGGAAAGATTGATGAGGAAGGACAATGATGACCACAATGCAGAGAGATAGTGAAAGGCCCAAGCTTGAATCCTCTTATCAGAGGAGCCAGATATGGGGCCCCTCCTCCCCAGTCTCTCCAGCCTTCAGAGACAAACTCCATGCTGCCTTCTCCATGAAGGCTCCTTAGAGCTATCTCCTCCCTGCTCTGGGTGCCAGAGCATTTTTGTGTGTGTGTGCACCTGTGCTCAAACTTTAATGTGCATAAGCATCACTAGGAAAGCTTCTGAAAAATATAAATTCCTGAAATCTAGCCTAAGAGATTCCTATTCAGTAGATGTGGGTGGGGCCTGGAAGCCTGGATCTGTAAGAAACTCCTCAGTTGGTTGCAAACCAGGCACTGAGGACCACATTGAGAAACTAGACCATCAAGTCCTACCTCACAGCTAGTATGCCTTGCACAATGCTAATTTCTAAAACCTGCTTTTAAATCTAGGTTCCCTAACGTACTCTGGTGACTTTGTGCCGTCACTTCTCTTCTCTGAGTCTCACTTTCCTCCTTTGAAAACTGGATAAAGTAGGCCGGGCGTAGTGGCTTACGCTTGTAATCCCAGCACTTTGAGAGGCCAAGGCGGGTGGATCACGAGGTCAGGAGTTCGAGACCAGCCTTGCCAAGATGGTGAAACCCCGTCTCTACTAAAAATACAAAAATTAGCCAGGTTCGGTGGCAGGAGCCTGTAAGCCCAGCTACTCGGGAGGCTGAGGCAGGAGAATCACTTGAACCCAGGAGGTGGAGGTTGCAGTGAGCCGAGCATGGCACCACTGCCTCAGCCAGCAACAGCCGTTCCGTCTCAAAAAAAAAAAAAAAGAGAGAGAGAAGACAAGAAAGAAAGAAAAATGGATTGGCCCGGGCGCCGGGTGCTCCACCGCCCTGTAATCGCCCAGCACTTTGGGAAGGCGAGGTGGGGCCGATTCAAAGCGTCAGGAAGACGAGACACCGGTGAAACACCCCTCGTCTCTACCTAAAAATACACAAAAATTGACCAGGCGGGGGCGGGGGAGGCGCCGGGCTGGCGGGTCGGCCTGTAGTCAGCTACACAGCTCAGGGAGGCGCGAGCGAGGAGAATGCGTGAACGGAGGCGGAACGCGCGATCGCGCCACTGCACTCCGACAGAGTGAGACTCTGTCTCAAAAAAAAAGAAAAAAAAAAAAAAAGAACAAATGGATTAAAGTAGTCGGCACCATATCGGCAGCTCATGCCTGTACCTCCCAGCACTTGGAGGGCGAGGCAACGCCGCGGCGTGCCTCTCCTGGGACAGGTTGGGAGTCTCGAGAGCCAAAAGTGACCACACATGGGAGAACGTCTCTACTAAAAAATAACAAAAATTAACTGGGTGGGCCAGTGGTGGGTGCCTGTAATCCAGCTACTCAGGAGGCCTGAGGCGCCAGGAGACATTCACTTTGGGAGGGTGGAGATTGTGGTGAGCCCGAGATCCCACACCATTGCAGCTCCAGGCCTGGCCAACAAGAGGCGAAATTCCAGTCTCCAAAAAAAAAAAAAAAAAAGGAAACCGAATGGAAGTATTGCGGAGCCCTGTCCTTTCCCGTGTAAGAAAGCCTGATATTTAACACAGCCAGTGAAATGATTTAGACGCTAAGAGAAATGATTGTCCTTGTTGCTCCCAATACCATCTTTGCCACCCCTTGGCAGAAGAAGGCCCTAAGGGACAGGGATCTGGTCCTCAAGTGTTTTCTTTTGTCTTTTGTTTTTTTTTTTTTTTTTTTTGAGACGGGAGTCTGGCCGCGGGCTGTGTACCCAGACTATGCAGTGGCGCGAACCTCGGCCTCACCCTGGCAAGCTTCCGCCCTCCGCGCGGTTTGCGCCATTCTCCCTGCCTCCCAGCCTCCCGATTAGCTTGGACTGACAGGCCGCCCCGCTCACCGGCTCGCCCCGCCGGCTAGATTTTTTTGTATTTGCTTAGTAAGTAAGACGGGGTTTCCACCGCTGTTTACGGCCAGGATGGTCCTACCGATCTCCTGACCGTCGTGATCCGCCAGCCACACAACACACAAACCGTCTCGACTCACAAATGGCTGGGGTCGAGCTTGATCCACCCAAGAAAGGACAGACAACACAGGTCTTCTTTTTTTTTTTTTTTTTTTTTGAGATAGAGCTCTTGTAACATGTCCGCCATGGCTTGGAGTGCAGTGGCGCAATCTCGAACTCACCGCAACCCTTCCGGCCGCCCAGCTTCAAAGCCGATTTCTTAGTCCTCAGCCTCCCCGAGTAGCTGGGATACAGGTGTGCACCACCAGCCCCAGCCAATTTTTTGTATTTTTTTAGTAGCAGACTGGGGCATTTTTCAACCCATGTTGGCCAGGCCTGTCTTAACAAATGTTTTCTAAAGTGGTGGTCCGCTCCTTACTGTGAAAATAATGATTCACCTTATTGGGTATAAATCCTCAAAAAGTTGTTTTCAAGCAAGAAATTGATAATAGAAACCTCATGATAGTGAAGGAAACCTCATGATAGTGAAGGAAAGGGGATTTATTTCTCATTATGTACCATTTTATACCTTTAGAAATTTGTAACTGGGCAAGGCCAGGTGCGGTGTCTCACGCCTGTAATCCCAGCACTTTGGGAGGCCAAGGCGGGCAGATCACCTGAGGTCAAGAGTTCAGACCAGCCTGCCCAACATGGAGAAACCGTCTCTACTAAAAATATAAAAAGTTAGCCGGTGTGGTGGGCAAGGCACCTGTAATCCGCAAGCTACTCAGGAGGCTGAGGCAGGGGAGAATCGTTGAAACCCCAGGAGGTGGCAGGTGGTTCGTGAGCCCCAAAGAATCATGCCACTGCTTCACGCCAAAAACAAAACAAAACATAAAAAAGCAAACAAAAGGGACCAGTTTAAACCTGCGGCAACATGGTGCACGGCCCTGTTAATCCCCAGCACTTTAGGGCCAGGGGAGAATCCTTTGGAGTCTTAAGGAGTTAGAGACCCAGGCGCGTGGGTAAAACGCCTGGTGTCATCTACAAAAAAAAAAACAAAACCGGAAAAAGGCCAGGCATGGGCTGGTGGTCACACCTGTAGTCTCCACCTGGTGTGGAGGCTGAAACAGGAGGATCGGCTTTGGCCTGGGAGGTTGAGGACTGCGTTGCAGTGAAGCGCGAGATCACACCACGCACTCCAGCCTGGGGACAGAGCCATACCCTTGTTTCTTCATAAAAATTTAAAGGATAGAAATTAGGGCCGCGCGGGTGTAGGCCTCATGGCCTGTAACCCAACCACTTGGGAGCGAGTCGGCAGGGCGCATTGCCTGAGGCTCAAGGAGTTCGAGGCCAGGCCCTGGGGCAAACAAGTGGTGAAAAAACCCGTCTTACTCAAATCAAAAAGTTAGCTTGGGCGTGGCCAGCGTGCGGCCTGTAGTCCACGCTACTTGGGAGCTAATGGGCAGGGGGAGAAATTGCTTGAACCTGGGAGCGGGGAGGGGCTAGCAGTCAGCCAAGATCACGCCCACTTGCATTCCAGCTTCAAACAGAGGGGCAAGCCTCCATCTCAATAAGAAAAAAAAAGGAAGAGAATTTGGTAAACTGATACATGCTATGACCCTTTCGAAAGTCATCATAATAAGTTTTCCAGAAAAGAGAATGGAAATGAATAAATATGTATGTTTCCCTCTAAAAACCCTACTGAACTCAGTTAAGGATTTTTGAAAGCATTTAAAGATCATTTGAAAAACTTAACCCCACCAAAGATGGGAGAGTTCAAGAAGAGGAAGGACACACAGTAACAATCAATTTTGAAGGTGGGAATAAGAAGAGGCACCAGGGTAATTGGGCAAGCATCCCAAGAGAGCTGGAGAAAACCAAAGGTGGCCTTAGGGAAATGCGGAATCAATGTTTAGGGTCTGAACCAGGGGTCCCCCTACGAAAACTTCCCCACACCAGATCACTCCTGATAAGAAAGGTTTT